CCACGCCATGTGGTCACCTCCGGGGCAGGCGGGAATCGAACTCATGAGGAAATGGCTTTAGCCTCTCAGTGCAGTGCTTTAACTCGCTGCGCCACCAGGGAGGGCCAGGAATCATTTTTTAAAAACAGCTTTCCTATTTCTTTGATCTGTTATTAAAATACCAGATGTAGTATTTCCTGTGTGTGTGTGTCTGACTGTTTTGAGTGTTAACTACTCGACTTTTTTCTTCAGAGATTGCTCTCAGCCCCAACAATCATGAAGTCCACATCTATAAGAAGAATGGGAGCCAGTGGGTGAAAGCTCATGAACTCAAGGAGCATAATGGACACATCACAGGTAGATATCCATAAGCTAATTATTAGGGTGTTTTCAAATTTAGTGCTTTTCTTTTTAACTAAACAGCCTAAAATAGGTTTGCTATAATGCATTTTTTTAAAGGTTTATTTATTTATGCATACAATTGCTGGGATGTAGGCCAGAGGTGTGGGGGGTGAGAGGATTCTCCAGAGACAGTAGGAAGCAGAACAAGAAGATCCACTGAAATACACTGCTGAGGGGAGCAGCAGGCAAGACAGGAGAGGTCTGCTGCTCCATGTGGGTCACCTCCCTGGCTGGGGATATAACTAATGCTGCAGTGGCCTCCAATAGCTTCATAGTGCTGAGACTTAACCCTTGGAGCCACCATGGAGGTCCATGCTATAATATTTAAAGACATGCAGCATTTCCTGAGTTTTATTTATGAAAGTTGAGAAAATATAATTGTGATCTCATTTTTTAATCACTACCTTTTAGCTTAGCTAATACACAGTGCTCTACTGGTGTTAATGGAAAGCACTGAACCTATACTGAGAACTAAAATTTGTGAAGTAGGAGATAAGATGTTGAAAGTGAAAACTAGTCAGTATGTCAGCTGTGTGATTGTAAGCCAAGCTGTGTTCCCAAATGATGAAAGAACACAGTGTCTTCCAGAAGTTTCCTGCATCTTGTTTAGGGGGCGAGTAAGATCCTTGAAAAAGACAGTGACATAAGGAGCACCCATATCCCCACAACCCAGAATTAACTATCCTTTCTCTGTGCCAAAATACTTAGGAAATGAAGATACAATAAGAAATACTATTTCAGATCATGTAAAGTCTCCTTTCACCATACTCTTGTCCAGAATGCAGTTTGTAATTTGGTAATTGTAATTGGTACGGCATTGTCCCAGTCCAGTTTTCATTCTTAAACACACATGTATTTATATTTGTAAGCAATCTATAGTACTGTTGGCTAATATTTTTAAATGCTGTGTAAATGGCATCATATAAATAATTTCCTACAGCTTGCTTTTGCATTCCACATTGTTTCTGAGCTCTATAAATGTTGCTATGTCCAAATTTTTTTCCTTTGAACTATTATTTAGCATTTCATACCTCTTTCATTCTTTCATTTACTCTTTTCTTCATTTTAGGTCTATTAGATTGTTTTTTGTTGTTCTTTTTTTTTTTTTTTTACATTGAAGTGCTAAATCAAGCATCCCTGTGCAGATCTCTTTGTAATGTATGTGACTTGTAGTCACCACTGAGGCATGTACATCTTCAGCTTTGCTTAGCACCATCATATTTTCTTTAACCTACCCATCCTGTTTGAAGGTACTATTTTCCTACTTCTACACATACTTGGTTACTGTCAGACTGTCTGATGTGTGAAAGGGAATACCGCTATCAATGAATAAATGGAATAGAGGTGACAAGCAGAATACTACTGAGTTCCATTAAACAAGTATTATATAAAGAAGGAGGAATAAGAGGTTTTATTAAAACAGAGAATTTTTGCAGTGTTTTTCAGAATTTAAGCCCTGGTGTCAAGAGAGTATATTGTTATGTGGTTAATATCTGCTATTTTTAAAAAAGATTTATTCTATCTTATTTATGCATACAAGAACTGGGATGTAGGCCAGAGGTGCAGGGGGTGAAAGGATTCACCAGAGACAGAGTGGGGGGCAGAACAGTCAGATCTACTGAAATACACTACTGAGGGGAGCAGCAGGTGAGACAGGAGAGGCCTTCTGTGTCATGTGGGCTAGCTCCCTGGCTGTGGATTGAACTCACACCATAGTGGCTTACAATAGCTTGGTATCGTTGAGACTTTAATCCCTGCACCACTAAGGAGGGCCCACATCGGCTTTTTTTTTTTTTTAATTTTATAATATACATCTGGCTATTTTTAAGAATAGATACTCACTTATTCTGCTCAGAAAGCACTCTTTTCCTTGATCATTACTCTTATAGTTTTTTCTTCTATTTTCTGGCAGAGTTGACTCAAATTCTTGCTTTAAACATTTTGACTTAGAACATCAAAACTTACTCTCCATAACTTTTTGGTTACAAATTTCACACTGCAGTGTTGGATTTTTCTCTCTCCTCAGTGACTTAACTGGGCAACAGAAGCACCAATAATGACTTTTTTGGGGACTCTGAAATTTTACCTCTACTCCCCTAACACACCGATTAATATTAAAATGTCTTTTTCCTAAATCAGAGGGAAAAAAATATAGCCTATTTTGACCTCCTGCACCCTTTATATTGATTCCCAGCAAAATCTTGTCACCATTCTTTGTTGTTTTTGCCAGTGATTTGTGTGGGGTGTTAGTGAGCACTGGGAACCAACTGACTGACTTACAGAGCCAGTGCCAAAGAACTAATTTCTATTTTTGTTTCTATACTTTCCCACGGCCTTGTTTCTATTAGACTTGGCCTATTTTAAGTGCTTTGCAAGTGGCCTTACAATCTAAAAATAAGAACACTCATATGTTAAATTGGAATTTAAACATTAGGAAATACTTTTAATGAGAAAGGGCTAAGATGAAAGACCCAAAAAATAACCTCAAATATGATATGATGCGCCCTTTTCCACCCCGTTTCCCTTTTGGAATCATTTGATCTGGGGCCTGTTTTCTGTCAAAATGTTCAAATGACTTTTTTTTTTAAGATTTGAAAAACTGTTATTGGAAACATCTAAATATAACTGACAGAAGACCAAGGATAGAACTTATTTTCTCAGAAAGGTGGTAATGGCAGGGGAAAAAAGTATCTTCTGAAGCCTTCTTAGAAGAAAAGACTTGTCAGTACTGCAGAGAAAAGGAAAGAATATGGCAAATATCCAAGGGGTATCAGAGTTCTGTTTTTGTTTTTTTTCCCCTGAGTATTCTTTTGTATTAAAGGTTAATCACTGTCTCCTTTGAAAAGACATTTTAGTGTGGACAGGTTAAACAGACAAGAAAAATAGTGTAGTGAGCCCCTCTATAATCCGCCACCCTGATTCAACACTACAAACTCACACTCAGTCTTGTTCTCAACTCCCTTTCTACCCTTTCCTGTACTGTTTTGAAGTATACCCCACCATTGTTCTATTTCAGTTTATCTCTAAAATATGAGGACTTTTTGATAATTCAGTAATTTTTTTTTAATATCAGAGTCACTGTTATTATCTTTTAAAGATTTATTTATGCATACAAGAACTGGAGTGTACGCCAGAGGTACAGGGTTTGAATCTTTATCATAGACAGAGTGGGGAGCAGAACAGGCGGATCCACCAAAATCTACTACCAAGGGGAGCAGCCGGAGAAACAAGTGGTCTGCTGTGCCTTGTGGGCCAACTCCATGGCCAGGATCCAAGCCATGCCACAGTGGCCTGATGATAACTTAATAGCACTGAGACTTCAATCCCTGCAGTACTAGGGAGGCCCTATAACCCTGTGTTAATTGGGATCTGAATCAGTATACACCTGACTGGTTCAGATCTCTTTTTAAGTCTTTTTGTTCCCATTCTGATTATACAATTCCTTCTTTTTTTTCCTCTGTAATTGTTAGGAAAATTAAGAAATCGGGTTATTTGGCCTATACTGTTTCACAAGGCCTGGATTTTCCTGATTGCAGGCCATTGTGTTATATATATTCCTATGTTCTCTATATTTTCTATAAAATTGCTAGTTGAAGTTCGGTGCTATTAAGTTCTTTTATCAAGGAGACACATAATAGCTATTGTTTTTCTTTGATGTTGACCACTGTCATTGTTGACGACCAGTGACCAGATCCATTAAGTGAGTCATAGTTGCAGTGTGGTAATACTCTAAATCTATCATTTCTTCTCCATTAGCTAGAATACATTTATAAAAGAGAAATTTTCTCCTATTTGGTTACCCTGAGGTATAGTTAATAAAGGAAAGATAGAATAACTGCTTGATTTCCCTTTTGCATTAAAATCTTCTGATGGCAGGAAAAAAAATTATTAGGAAGAGATGAAAATTTGTCTCTACTGAATATTTGGGTTTTTTTTTTAAAGATTTATTTGTGCATACAAGAACTAAGGTACAGTCCAGAGGTTTTAGAGGGTAAGAGGATTCACTAGAGGCAGAATGGGGATTGGAACAGGCTGATTGACTGAAATCCACTGCTGAGGGGGACAGTAGGCAGGACGGAAAGGTTTACCATGCCATGTGGGTCAGCTCCCTGGCCGGGGATTGAACTCTATCTAGCTTTATAGTGCTGTGCTTTAACCCATTGCACCACCAGGGAGAACCCCTTTCTTTCTTTCTTTTTTATATATAACAACTAAATGTCTTACAAGAGTATAGCTAGTGTGGTCTAAGATTTTGAGGCTAAGACATGATTTTATAGCTTCTTTATTCAAATGAAAGAGTAAAACTATAAAACCAAGCAGAAAGCAGTTCCTTATATTTTTCTTAGAGTAAGGATCTTGGTGTGTTTGTTTGTTTGTTTGTTTGTTTGTTTGTTTGTTTGTTTGTTTGTTTTTTTAAGCACTTCATGCTTAAGTAAGGATATCTGGAGTTTTAAATGTTTAATATGAGTGGTTGTCAAGGGATGAGTGCCAAAATCACATTGTCAAAGTCATTCCAAAAATCACAGAGCTTTCTCTTTACAAGACCATGTCTGGATATTAGAAGGGATAAATTCTGCAAACTTAACAGCTTAAACCAAAATACATTTATTATCTTTCGGTTTCTCTGAGTCGAGAGTCTGGACCTGACTTGTCTAGTATCTCTTCTCAGGGCCTCATAAGCTATAATTAAGGTGTCAACCAAGGAACGACCTACTTGCAAGCTTCCCTCAGGTTATTGGTGGTTGATTTTATTTCCTTTTAGCTGTAAGAGTCGTGGCACTAGCTGCTTCAAGGCCTGCAACAGAGAAAGAACATGTTGGTTGTAGGAGTGGAGGGCTATACTCTTATGTACTCTCATTTACTAATCATATCTGATCATTTTAAGCATCCTGTTGGTAGAATTTACAGGTCCTGTCCACACCTACAAGAAGAAACTCACATAAAGACCCGAACACCAGCAGAGGGTCTGCTCACCATAAAAGTTTCTCAAAGATTTGCTTTCAAGTTTTATGAATTAGATGGTCATAAAAAGGACCTCCCTGGGGATGTGGAGAAAAAGGAACTCTCCTGCACTGCTCGTGGGAATGAAAACTAGTACAACCACTATGGGAAACTGTTTGGAGGTTCCTCAAACTGCTAAACATGGAGCTTCCATATGACCCAACAATCCCACTCCTAGCTATCTACCCAAAAGACACAAAAACACTGATCCAAAAAGATACCTGCACCCCCATGTTTATTGCTGCTTTATTTACAATTGGAAAGCCATGGAAACAACCCAGATGCCCACAAATGGATGACTGGATTAAAAAGATGTGGTGTATGTACACAATAGAATATTATTCAGCAACCAAAAAAAAAAAATGCCTTTTGCAGCATCATGGATGGAGCTGGAAGGGATCATGCTTAGTGAAATTAGCCAGAAAGAGAAAATACAGGATGGTTTCACTCATAGCAGAAGTATAATGGACCAGGCAAGAAAATAATAATAATGATAATGAACAACTATATACCAGAGATATTTTATGGGGTTGGAGTGGGGGATGGAATTAAAAACAGTGGGGGGAGGGAAATGCACTGGACTATGGTGATGGTACATGGGTGATTTGGTGATGGGAAGCCCACGGGGATTACAACTGAGAGGAAAAATGCACAAAATGATGTAAAAATAAAATATTATTTTAAAAGGGGGGGCCTCCCTGGGATACAAGGGGTTAAAGCACAACACTATGCGGCTGTCTGCAGCCACTGCAGCATTAGTTCTATTCCCAATCCCAGAGGTGACCCACATGGCACAGCAGACCTCTCCTGTCTTTCTCACTGCTCCCCTCAGCAGTGTATTTAAGTCCATCCACCTGTTCTGCTCGCTGCTCTGTCTCTGGTAAAGCCTCTCACCCCTCCCCCACATCTATGCCTGTACCCCAGTTCTTGTCTGCATAAATAAATAAATCTTAAAAAAAAAAAAAAAGAATGGGAGCAGGGCTTGATTCACTTTCTGCATGTCCCTTTGTGATGCTTCATAACAAAGTGTGGCTATTGCTTTAGTAATTAAAGATAGTATTTATGGGGCCCTCCCTGGTGGTGCAGCGGGTTAAAGCACAGCATCATGAAGCTAATTGCAGCCATTTCAGCAGGAGTTCAATCCCCAGCCAAGCTGTTGACCCACACTGCATGGCAGACTTCTCTGTCTTGGCCACTTCTCCCCTCAGCATTGTACTTTATCAGTCTGCCTGTTCTGCTCCCCACTCTGTCTCTGGTGAATCCTCTCACTGTCCCAGCACCTCCAGTTCTCTATGCATAAATAAATCTTAAAAAAAAAAAGAAAGAAAGAATTTAGGGCCTCCCTGGTGGTGCAGGAGTTAGTCTCAGCACTGTCAAGCTATTTGCCAACCACAAAGGCATGAGTTTGATCCCCAGCCAAGGAGCTATAACCCACATGACAGAGCAAACCTCTCCTGTTTCACCTGCTGCTCCCCTTAGCAGTGTATTTCAATACATCCAACTGTTCTGCTCCCCACTCTGTGTCTGGTGAATCCTTTAACTCCTCCCTGTTGCCCCCCCCCCCCAGCCTCTGGCCTAAACACCAATTCTTGTATGCATAAATAAATAAAAGATACATTTTTTAAAAATAAAGATAGAATTTAAAGTCTTGTAAATAAGACTGCAAATCTATCTTGTAATGAATGGATTTAAAATAAAAATATACGTCACTAAAATATACACCCATTTTTTTTTCCTTTTAATGGTACAAATAATTGAACTGACAATTCCTGTAAGGTGAATGAATGAAGAAAGTCTTCATAATTCATGATCACTCAGATCTATGACTAATGCAAATGTTGACTTACAGTCTTTGTTTTCTGTGCCAGAGCCCACCCTGCACCGTATCATTTTACTTGCTTACAAGCTCATCTTACTTGCAGGTATTGACTGGGCTCCCAAGAGTGACCGCATTGTCACTTGCGGGGCAGACCGCAATGCCTATGTCTGGAGTCAGAAAGATGGTGTCTGGAAGCCAACCCTGGTGATTTTGAGAATTAATCGTGCTGCAACGTTTGTCAAGTGGTCCCCATTGGAGAACAAATTTGCTGTGGGAAGTGGAGCACGACTCATTTCTGTTTGTTACTTCGAGTCTGAAAATGACTGGTAAGCAACTTCTGAAGACTTCATTTCTCTGGAGCTATACATTTGCATTGCAGTGTTCCTGGTGACTTCTTGAGGCACTGGTTGAATGCTTTTTTTGTTCAGTATGAAATTTATCAGCTATCAAAAACCAGAACATGATTGGTTTTTAAATAGTAGCTTGCAAGCAGAAATTGCATTTTTTAAAAAAGATTTATTTATGCATACAGTACTGGGGTATGGGCCAGAGATGCAGGGTCGGTGAGAGGATTCACTAGAGACAGAGTGGGGAGCAGAACAGGCAGATTGACGAGGGGAACAGTACACTGATAAGGGAAGCAACCGGTGAGATAGGAGAGGTCTGCTTTGCCATGTGGATCAACTCCCTGTCTCTCATAGCAGGAGTATAACGGAACAGGCGAGAAAATAACAATGATGAACCACTGTATACCAGAGGCATTTTGTGGGGGTGAAGTGGGGAATGGGATCAAAAACAGAGTGAGGAGGGAAGTGCACTGGACTATGGTAATGGCACATGGGTGATTTCATGATGGGAAACCCAAGGGGATTACAACTGAGATGGGAAAATACACAAAAATATGTAAAAATAAACTATTATAAAATTTTTTTAGAAAGCCTTTTCTCTGACTGGAGACCTATAGCTGCGTAAGAACCATGACTGGACATTTTCTTCTGGCACATTTGTAGTTATTTGGGGACTATTGCTTGATGTACTGATGAGCTAAAATGAACTTTCTCCTTTTGTAGGTGGGTAAGCAAGCACATAAAAAAGCCAATTCGCTCCACAGTGCTCAGCTTGGATTGGCACCCTAACAATGTTTTGCTGGCAGCAGGATCATGTGACTTCAAATGCAGGTGGGTACAAATGAGGATTGGTAGATTTGAGCTTTCCTCTGTTCATTTTTCAAAAGATACTTAGTTATAAGTTTCCTTTTCTTTGTAAGGCACTAGGTTAGGCACCACAGGGGACTCAGATATGAAAGGAGTTTGTGATTTAGAAAAGGAGCTACTAATGCAAGAACATGAATTGCTAAGGGAGACAGACATGCACTTGGCAGTACAGAGAAGGCAGATGCAGGGTGGGGGCCAGGGTGTTCTTCCTAAGTTGAACACCTATGGTGTGGGTGAAGGTGCAGTGTCCCCACTCCCTTGACCATGGTGTTATTTCTTGTTTTGCAACTGAGACAGCAAACTCAGCAGATTCTAGAATGAAACCAGAACTGAACAGTGTACTGCTGAGCTGCTATTGTGCCTTTCCTTTTCATTTAAAGCGTTTGATTTTTTATTAGCATGAGACTAAAAGAAACACAGCTATTTTGCTGAGAGCTTTAAGGATCATGCCATGTAATTGCTTTTTTAAAGTTTTTTTTTTAGCTAGAAGCTTTTTCCCCCCATAGTCAAAAGAAAATCAAATAAATGCCTTTTTTTCATATTGACTCTCTGGTAAGTGAAGGCTAGGATGCACTTTTCAGTAGGCCATGTACAGAGTTTCCAGAAAACGTGGCTTGTGCTGGCTAGTGATTTGTATCCAAGAATCCTCAAAGGTTTTGTTATTTTGTTTTGCTTTTTGGAAGATGTTTGGGGGATTTTGGAGAGCACTCCAAAAAAAAGATTGGTTTTTCTACTTAAGAACCAGAGTAATGGTTAAGATACGTGGACAGTCTGTAGATTGTTTTCATATTCAGGAGTCTTGTTGTTTGTGATGTGTTTTCCAGAGTCATTCTAGCTCCTTTAGAGATGGAACTAAGTGCTACTTACCCTCACCATCTGACTTATCAGATTGTGTCTGAAAGTCTGGTTTGTTAACATTATTTCCAGAAATAAACTTTACCTTGACTTGTGGTCCATTGGGTTGAAGCCTGTTCCATTCACACACTCAAGTCCAAGCTGAGAACCAGTTCTCTCCCGGCTTCTCATGACTAAAGCGTGGCCACCAGGATGCTGATGTGAAGCAGAGCGTCTCAGAGGTCACATCATCTGATAGATATGTGATTGTGCCCTTCACCTCTCCAGTGCCCTGCCAGTGGAGCTGCTGCTGCTATTGTCATTTTAAGGAGAAATGTTTAGGGAGTTTTAGCTTCAGACAGTTTTGATGAGAAGATGTACAAATGAGGTGTACAAAGTAGAAACCATATTGGAGGGCCAAAGGGAAACTAAAAGCATAGATTCCCTATTGTTCTTTATCCTGCTTCCCTACTCTGGGTCAAATCATCCTCATGCATAGCTTCATGGAATTCAAGAACAAGATTGATGACACCAGCATGTACAGGATCAACCTTCACCCCAGACTATATATGACACAAGGGTGGGACAGTGGGCCTGAGTTGAACCCAGGCCTCTACCTGACAGCACAGAGAACCTGCCCATTTTTTCTTACTGATGTACATTGGCTTTCTCATTGAATGTCCCTCTTTTTTTTTAAATAGGTTAATAGCACTGGTTTGTTGCAGGGTGGCAAATAGTTAAGTAGGGAAGAATGTAGTGCTGTCTATCAAGGTTATGCATGAGCAAGGGAGTGAAGGGACAGCCACTCCTCCACCAAAATGTGCATTTATTTGGGGGGAGGACCTCTTGTGTTACCTCTGGAACTATGCTCCCAGAGTAGTGCCTGACAGTCTGGCCATCGTGAATATCTGTCTCTGTAGGTTAACGTTTACCTATCTGGATTCTCCTGTAGGAACCATTCCCTGACTTAAGAGGTTTGTGTATCTGAATTTAGTAGGACTTAGTAGCTGCCTGTGATGATTTCTGTATATAAATATATGGTTTTTTTTTTTTTTTGGTTTTTTTTTTTGGTTTGTTTGTTTTTTTCATTTTTCTCTCTCTCCTTGCTCCTTAAATCACAGAGTGTTTTCTGCCTACATTAAAGAAGTGGATGAAAAGCCAGCCAGTACACCCTGGGGCAGCAAGATGCCTTTTGGTCAGCTGATGTCAGAGTTCGGTGGCAGTGGCACTGGTGGTTGGGTGCATGGGGTTAGCTTCTCCGCCAGTGGCAGCCGCCTGGCTTGGGTCAGCCATGACAGCACTGTGTCTGTTGCTGATGCCTCAAAAAATGTGCAGTGAGTATTTGCCTTTTTGTTTGGAATTATGGAGTGGGGTATTATCTTTCACCAGTTGATCTAACTCTGCCTTTCCTGGGGTTTAATTGTAGGATGCAAGTTTAAAATCCTCACTCAGAACTGCAAGGTGGCCTTTATACCTACACACATTTAGATTGTCCGTTTAGGAAAACTTTAAAGAGATACCATTTCCGGAAACAATCCCTTTTTTTTTTTTTTTTTATAAGATTTACTTTATTTATGCATACAAGAGCTGGGGTGTAGGCCAGAGGTGCAGGTAGTAAAAGGATTCACCAGAGACAGAATGGAGAACAGAACAGGCAGATCTACTGAAATAAACTGCTATGGGAAGCAATAGGTGAGACAGAAGAGGTCTGCTGTGTCATGTGGGTTAGCTCCCTGGTCAGGGATCAAACTCATGTTGCAGTGGCTGCTGGTAGCTTCAGAGTACTGAGACTTATTAACCCCTTTCACCATCAAGGAGGCACCTCCAGAAGCAATTTTTTTTTTCTTACATCAGTCTTCATTAAAAAAAATTACTTATTTCTGCATACAGACCTGGGGTAAGACCAGAGGTACAGGACAGTGAGAGGCTTCACCAGAGACAGAGCGGGGAACAGAACAGGCAGATTGACAAAGTGCACTGCTGATGGGAGCAGCAAGTAAGATAGGAGAGGTCTTGTACCATGTAGGTCACCTCCTGAGCTGGGGATCGAACTCATGAAGCGGCTCTCTTCTCAGTGCTGTGTTTTAACCTATTGCGCCACCAGAGAGGGCCCTCATTCTTCATTTTTGTACAGTGTTTGCTTTTTCATCTGTTGTAGTCCCAGTGGAATTCCTACCACCAATTTACTCCTCTACTATCACCATAGTCCCTTGTGCTCTCCCCACCCCTGTTTTGATCCTGCTTCCTCTCCCTCTGCAGAATGTCTGGTTTATAGTTGCCTGTTGATTTTGATTTTTACTTTATTATTATTACTATTTTTTCCTGATCCTTTACATTCCTCCTAAAAGTGAAGCCATCCATTTCACTCATAGCAGGAGTATAATGGACCAGGCGAGAAAATAACAAGAATAATGAACAACCATATACCAGAGACATTTTGTGGGGGTGGAATGGGGAATGGGGTCAAAAACAGGGGGGTAGGGAGGGAAGTACACGGGATTATGGTGATGGCACACGGGTGACTTGGTGATGGGAAACCCGTGGGCATTACAATTGAGGTGGGGAAAAAAAATGTACAAAAAAAAAATTGATGTAAAAATAAACTGTTATTAAAAAAAAAAAAAGTGAAGCCATCCAGTATTTTTTTTCCTCTCTGGCTTATTTCACTGAGTATGATCCCTTCCAGCTCTGTCTATGTTGCCGCAAATAGCTGAGTTTGTCTTTTTTGATTACTGAGTAATATTCCATTGTCTATGTGTATCACATTTTCTTGATCCAGTCATCTATTTTTGGGCATCTGGGTTGCTTCTATAATTTACTTATGCTGCAGTAAACATAGGGGTGCAGGTGACCTTTTGAAAAATGTTTTTGTGTCCTTTGGGTAAATACCTAGGAGTAGATCACATGGACACTCACTTTTAGCTTTCCATAGTGGTTGAACCAGTTTGCATTCCCACCAGTAGTATGGGAGTTTCTTTTTCTCCATATCCTTGCCAAAATTTTGGTTGCTAGTTTTTTTAATATATGCCATTCTCAAATCTAGTGTGAGATGGTACTTCATTATGGTTTTGATTTGCATTTCCCTTTTCCCTGATTGCAAGGTGAATGTGAACATTTTTTCATATGCCTGTTGGCCATTTACATTTCTTTGAAAAAGTGTCTTTTTAGCTCTTCTGCCCATTTTTTGACTGGCTTGTTCACTTTGTATTGTCAAGTTTCATCAGCTCCTTGTACTTTTTGTTCAGTCCCTTATTCTTTAATCCATTTTTTTATAAGTTTAACTTTTTTTCTTTTTTTTAAGATTTATTTATGTATGCATATAGAACTGGGGTACAAGCCACAGGTTCAGGGGCAGTGAGAGGATTCACCAGAGACATAGTGCGGAGCAGAACAGGCAGATAAATGAAGTACACTGCTGAGGGGAGCAGCGGGCAAGTCAGGAGAGGTCTGCCACGCCTTGTGGATCACTTCTCCAGCGGGAGATCAAGCTCGCACTGAAGCTGCTGAGGTTCGCTTGCAGTGCTGCGTCCTAACCCCTGCGCCACCAGGAAGGGCCTCTTTAATGCATTTTGAGTCGGTTTTTGTGCATGGTGTGAGTACGTGGTCCAGCTTCATTTTTTTTTTGGAATCTTTCTCTTACGAATCTTGTTTTTTTTTCCTTGTGACCTTTTCCTTTAGCAGCTAAAAGTAACCTACCTTTAAAGTAAAACTAACTTAACATTTGTGTGCCAAGAATCCATCTGATGCTTTTTATTGCAGTGCTGAGCAAGTGACATTTCAGAGAGAACAGTACTTTCCTTACTAGATTGTTTTCAATTTTTTATGCTTTTTTAAACCTCTCTCCATCATAAATGATAGTTTTTAGATTTCTCTCAATATACATAAATCTTTTTCATCTTCAACAAAAAATGGGATTATGGTGTATATTTTACAGTCATTTGCCTATTGTCATTCAATATTTTGATGTCATATTGATTTTACTGCAGTGCATAATAAGCTTTTAACATGTCTACTCTCATATTTATTTATATTTGGCTTTTCCAGTCCTGCATGTCATATTATGTCCTCCATCTTTATCTTCAAACATAAATATTTCATATAATAAGAGCCAGGGGTGTTACAGTAATACCTAGAGAGTTAAGAAGAGGTGTTAGGCTTTTAATCCAGTACCAAATTATTGGGGGAAGGAAGGGGATATCCTGAAACACAGTTAATTTAAAAAATGCATTACCGGCCCTCCCTGGTGGCGCAGCGGGTTAAAGCACAGCACTGAGAATCTAAAGCCGCTTCCTCATGAGTTCAATTCCCGCCTGTCCGGAGGTGACCACATGGCGCGGCAGACCTCTCCTGACCCGCCCGCTGCTCCCCTCAGCAGTGTACTTCGTTGATCTGCCTGTTCTGCTCCCCACTCTGTCTCTGGTGAATCCTCTCACCGCCCCTGAGCCTCTGGCCTGTACCCCAGTTCTGTATGTACAAATAAAATCTTTAAAAAAAATAAAATGCATTACCTTTTACATAAAATTATGGGATCATAATTAATCACTGAGTGTGTTTGCCTGCCCTATCTTTGTGACCTCTTGTCCAGGTGCTGTGGCAGACAACCACTAAGCATACATATGTGCACACATACACACACAGCCCACTAGAGTGTGAGTGCCTGACTGGCTAAAATTGTCTTGCTTATTCATCTTAATGGCCCTAACTCTTAACACAGTACAAATACCTGGCAGAGGGAAGAAAATAGGTAGTATTCTGTTAATAAATGTGGCATTCCACTCTGCTGCTAAAGACCTACTGTGAGCACAGGTAAGGAGAGACATTTAATCCTCAGCAACAGTGAATATAAGAACTGTGGTTGGGCAGAGAAATGAGAAGCTCTTTAAGCTGAAGTGATTCAGGAAAATGTCATGAAAGTGATCAAATTAGAGCTAAACTTCAAAGGAGAGGCTTGGAACAAGGATAGAGATGGGAAAGAACAGAGACCCACTGGGGCCCATGCTGTAGACCAGTTTCTCATGAATGGGAGGACTTTGGGTGGGTGGGGCTCCAGGGAGCCAGGTGCCTTTGATTTGCAGGTCACCTCAGGGCTGTCTTATGCTTGAGATTCCTGAAAATATAGGACATAGGCCTCCTTTTAGCATTGTATTGGTTTCTACTGCCAGATTCTCTGTGAGAATGGGTCCTTTGTCATCTGCTATGCCTAGTAAGTAAGAAGCTGTATGGTCATGCCACCTCTGTTAAACAAGTGTTCTTGTGTTTAGGGTCTCAACTCTGAAAACAGAGTTCCTGCCCCTCCTGAGCGTATCATTTGTCTCGGAGAACAGCGTTGTGGCTGCTGTAAGTATTTCTCTTCATCTTTCCTTGTGGTAAACTGTATTTAATTCTCTAGAACAAAAACAATGTGTGCTCTATGACTTTATGCCCTGGCACAAAGTAGAACAGCCTTTGAGAAGAAATAGCCTCTCAGAGTAAGAGATGCCTGTAGTGGGGACAGGCTGCTAAGGGGTGATGGGCCAGCAGATACCCTGCAGGGGCTGACTGATAATCTTATTTCAGGGCCATGATTGCTGTCCAATGCTCTTTAATTATGATGACCGTGGCTGCTTGACATTCGTCTCCAAGCTAGACATTCCAAAACAGAGCATCCAACGTAACATGTCTGCCATGGAACGCTTCCGCAACATGGACAAGAGGGCCACAACTGAGGACCGCAATACAGCCTTGGAGACGCTGCACCAGAATAGCATCACGTAGGCGCCACCCTGCCACTGGAGTCCCCTGGACTGGGTTCTAATTCCCTAGATGCCACCTATAGCCAGGACCCTGATGATTGGTAGAGAAGTGACCGAGAAGCCCTTCTTCCCCTCTTTGTACACTGTGGGCCCAGATGTCCCTTCAGGAACCAGAGCTGTGAAAAATCTGTAGATTGCCAACTGTGGGCTCTTCTTTCCAACTAATAATAATTGTGAACCACCCCAACTAGTCATTCTGTCTTTTGGGGTGCAGATAATACAAAGCTTCACACAGAAGGAATGCAGATTTTCTGTGGACTTGGGAGCTGGTGTGGTCTCAGTGTAACCTCTTCCTGGGGCTTGCATCCTCAGAAACTTGATCAAGAACAAAATGGAAACTTTTCCAATGTCATATTCCTCTGATAGTGAACACATGACAAGAAGTATAGTTACATCCTGTTTGGAAAGGTAATTCTAGCTATCATTTCAACCATGGATTTCAAGTAACAAATATAAGTAAGATCACTTAGAGGAACAATTTCTTAGCATCATTATGACAAAGCTGAGGAGTTTCTTGACTTCAAAATTAGGCACGTGTAATTATGTAAACAGTAAAACTGTTTCGCACTAAAGCTTGATATTTTTTTTTTAATCTAGAGGAGAAATGCAGTATATTCTTGACATTTGAAGTCATTGTGTTCAGGATTTTTCCATGCCATAGGATTTTCTCTTTTCTGCTAGATCTTTTGTGATGAGATGCTTTCACTGTGGTGATATAATGGCAGGAGTAAAGGAAACCTCTCAACTTTCTCTCTGAAAGAATTATTAAACGCAGGTTGTGCTTTTCTTCATGCTCAGTGGGAAGGGCTGCTGGTCATAAAGTAGGTTGAAAATGTCTGTACTCTTGAATAATAATTTGAAGGCATAGCTGAACTACTTCCTATCTACTCTTGAATGACTTTGAAAGTTCTTGTGACTTTTCTTCAGTTTCTCTGCAGATTCTGTATCAGAAAGGAAAGAGCTCTCATTGCTTTTTTGAGGCTTTTAAGTTAAAAATAAAATGACAGACCCTTGCAGATTGGCATGTTTACTTTTATTTGCAAACACTTAAATTCTCATTGTTCTAGAGGAAAGAGTCAGCCAGCTTTTTCCCTCCTTGGTTTATCCAGTTTGTTTATTTATTTATTTTTCTTTATTGAAGACTTGGCCAGCTTTTCCTGCAAGGAACCAGATAGTAAATAATTTAGGCTCTGAGGTGCTGTACACTCTTTATCACAGCTACTCAGTTTAGCGCTTTCAGCACAAAAGCAGCCATGGATATTATGTACATAAGGGAACATGTACTTATTTCAGTAAAGCTTTGTGGAGTTTTGATTTTCACGTCATGAAGTAATAATCTTTGAAATGTTTTCCACCCATTTAAAATTGGAAAAGCTATTCTTAGTTCACAGGCTATAGAGAAACAGGCAACTGGCTACAATTTGCCATCAGAAGATGGCTCTAGATATTTCAAAGTAGAAAGAAATACTGTCTGAGGTATGGAATTGATTTTCTTCAAAGTTTCTCAGGTATACTAAGAAGGGTTGTTTCATTGTCTTTTTCTCTCTTTGCTTGGTGTGGCATGTCTTGACTGTTGCTAACGTTTATAACATTCAATGCAGAGAGCACACTTGGCCTTAGACTTCTGCTGTCTTGGAAGGTTGTTTCTTTTTTTTTTTTTTTTGTATTGAGCCACTGGATTTCAGTCATGCTTTATCATGCCTTTAGTTTAAAAAAATTGTTCATTTCAGTCATGGCTGTGGTGCTACACACGCCCTGCTGCCCAGTGTCCTCGCTGTGTGGCCTGCTGGTCCTGGTTCTCCACAACAGTCTTCTAATGCAGGCTCCTAGCAATCACCTTTTGTCAGTTTTACCTTTGTTGGACATCCAATAATATGCATCTGCATATTATTATCCTGGGTCAGATTGCCATGGCCTAATATTGAAGAACAATGTAATATTTGAGAGTTGATGGACAGTTCATTTCCTTAAAATGACCTTGCATTATTAGACAGGAAGGTTGGGCTCACTTCTGCCACTTACAGTCCCTTGTTTGTTTGTTTGTTTGTTTCAGTCAAGTGTCTATTTATGAGGTGGACAAGCAAGACTGTCGCAAATTTTGCACTACTGGCATCGATGGAGCCATGACAATTTGGGATTTTAAGGTATTTTCTACCTTTTAGAATACATCTTGGTATCAAAACTCTCCCTGTGAGAAGAATGTTTCTCACTTCTCAGAACTAAGTGTTAGACCCAGTGCACATTAAAAACATAGGCCATTAAAGTAGTTGTTTTTAAAACCTAAAGTCACTGAGGCCTCCCTGTTTGTGCAGGGGTTAGTCTCTGTGCTATCAAGCTATCCTAGCCTCTGCAGCATGAGTTTGGTCCTTGGCCCACATAGTGCAGCAGACCTCTCCTGTCCTGTCTCACCTGCTGCTCCCCTCAGCAATGTACTTCAGTAGATCTGCCTGTTCAGCTCCCCATTCTGTCTGGTGAATCCCTTCTCTCTCACACACACATATGTACGTACGTACGTGTACACACACACACACACACACACACCATCTCTGACCTAGACCCCAGTTCTTGTATGCATAAATAAATAAAATAAATCTTAAAAAAATAACAAACACTAAAATTAACAGGAAAAGTCACACTTTCTCAATGAATCTGAATTCATACTTCTAGATGCCTGTTTACTGATTGAAGAAAACTCAAATTGTTTTTTGTAGCAGACTATGTTGGACCCAAGTCTGGGTTTAACTCTTTGGGGAAACAGTCTTCTGTGCTGTGTTCCTGCTTTACCCCTTCATCTGCTTTATGTCTTGTGTAATTGCTCCACTAGCAGCTAGTACTCCCCTCATTTGTTGATCTTTCAGATCAAACCCCTCTCTTCCCTTCTGTGGATGTACAGACTTGAAACCCCCAGTGCCTTTTTCTCTAATCCATACCCTGTTGAGCACCTGTTTTATGTTTTGCACTAGACTCTGCTGTGTGACTTCAAAAAAATAGGAGCCTGCCATCAGGACCTAGAAGGGCAAGGGACATGCACAGATGGCTCTCATTAGTAAGGACAAGGGATACAGCTAGGAAGAATGTGCCCAAAACAGGAGTATGGGCGAGGGACAAAGGAGCACAGGGCCTGCAGGGCCACCTGTTCTGGATAACCTACGGGGCCGCGCCCTGGGACAGCAAGTCTCAGGGAAGGGAGGAGAGCCAGGTTTGGGGGGTGTTGGGTCTGCACTTAAGCCCAGGAGGAGGGGGCATAGTATAGTGCAAGGGGAAACCCTAGAGTGGACGGTCCTCAGTAACGATGGGTGTTCTCCCCTCCATTTTCAAGACCTTAGAGTCTTCTATCCAGGGCCTTCGGATAATGTGAAGCTGAGTGAGCCTCGGGATCAGCGTAACAAACTGACAGCCGTCACTGACAGCGGCCCACCATTTGCATGATGGTGAGCAGACCAGCCACAAGGAAACACTGAAGACATATCTCGCGAATAATGTTTGTGTGTTTTGTTTGAATATAATTGGTGTAAGTGTTGGTTTTTTTAAAAGCAGCAGTGATTTGGATTTTGTTTTGTTTCTTGTTTGTGCTTTTTCATTCCATTCTTGACCAAAGCTTCTCTTTAAGTAGTTAATTATGGAAAATTGTCACACTAACTTAAAGGAAAAGGTGAGAAGATATGTAAATTGCTAAAAAAAATGAAATAAAAATACTGAATGTGATTTTGGCATTGTTTCCTTGTGTGGTTTCTGATTTTAGTAGAAAAATATGGGTGTAAATTGTTTGTTAGACTAGTTAGTTTTTAGGGTAAAATTTTACATTTTTTGGCAATGTTTAACAAAGATCTGTTTACTGTATGTCATCTGTTAATATTGCAGTATTTCTACAAAGTAGGCATGCTGTTCCCGTTTTGCATGTGAAACAGCAGAGAAACCCACCTCCACCAAGTTGGAGGTCCCAAGAGGGGCCTGTTCAGAGACCCCCAAGGTCTGGCCCTACACCCTGTGCCCTCAGCAGGGGGAGCCCCCTGGCCCCATTGTACCCACACATGGTGTGTGCACAATTAGAAAAGGAGCTGGTTATAATTTTAGTTGAGAAATTACTGTACCCAAACTTAAGTTACTTTCATCATAATCAAACAAAGTTTGATGCTGTGGGACTGAGAATGTTAAAAGTTGCAAATATAAATGAATAGCAAAGTAGCTACAGAGCAGCCTTGATTATGGCCATGTCCTGGTCTCACTGGCCCCTAAGGACTTCAGCAGAGATTCAAGCTCAGCTGTGGTCATGGACACTGGTAACTGCTTCTCAAAGGACACCTTATCTGCGGAGTCACGGAAAGAATTACTGCTCTCTGGGAGAGAATTCTGGCAGCTGGGTTGCTAGCTGGGGGGGCCTGCCTCTTCCCTGTCTACTGGAGTATCCTCATCGACCCCAGTGGAGGAGCACCTTTGTGTATATGTGTTTGATCACTGCATCAGCAAGGCTATCATCACAGAGTAGATAAAAGCAGGCCAAAAAAAGGAATTTACTACAAGTTTCTGGTTTCATTAAATTGTGGTTTGGCCAGCAAGCCCAAAGGTTTTTAGAAAAACAGTATTTCATGAGAGAAAAGCTGAAATTGACTGACTGCCTCTAAGAATTTAATAGCCACAGAATTGTCTTTTTCTTTTTTAAACTTGGCTATTTCCTACCTGTGGGAGAAGGCCCATTCCAGTCACAGCTCCCTCCTCCTCCCTCCCGCCTTCGAGAGACAGATCTGAGAGACAGATCTGGACTGGGTCCACCATGACGCCTGATCTGTGAGGGTTCCCGGTGACTGCTGACTATACCAGGACCACTGGCCAAAACCCTTTAATTTGATGCTTTTGTGTCTGCTTACAGTTCTAACGAGTTAAATGACCTTAAGCAATATAGTTAATGTCTCTGAGTCATAGTGTCCGCACCTGATCTATTTCCTGGCTAGATAACAGGAAAGCCAGTTTGCTTTCAGGTATGGTCATGAAGGGCCCTATTAGAGGCCCTTAACAGTGAAGTAGGGTGGGAAGTAATGTGTAAAGGATTTTGCTAAACAAAAAATAAAAAATTAAGTTGTTTCCAGAACATTATGCTGAGAAAACTGGGAGCGGTCTCAGAACCATAAGTGCTTAGGCAGGACCTCCAGCTGACTCAGCAACCACACAGGTGGCTTAGTTCCTGTGAGTACCCAACTCTGAAGGCAATAATGTAAAGGCCCAGCATCCCCAGGTGCCTGCAATGCAGATGAGTCAAAAAAGCCTTCCGGTGGAGATTAATCAGATAAGTACATACATAGTTTATGTTATCTAAGTCCTGGTCTGTATAATTTAAATACCAGATGTGATGGGTAGAGTATTGCCTTTCCAAAGATGTCCATGTCCTAATCCCCAGAACCTACAAGGAGGTTTGCTGGGATGAGGCCTGGAGACTGACGCTAATTCAGATGGGCCAGGTGTAATCACAAGCCTCCTCCTAAGAGGGAGGCAGGAGGGGAAGCGGGAGATGTGACTGGAATTGCAGAATGGTACATTTCAAGGCAAGGCCAAGGGACGCTTGGCTGCCTTTCAGAGCTGGACAAGGCAGGGAAGTGACTTCTCCCTTACAGCCTTCAGAAGGAACATGCCCAGCCAACACCAAGGTAGCCCGCTGAGCCTGCAGACTGCTGACCTCCAGAACCGTAAGAGAGTAAGAACACTTGAGTTGCTTTAAGCCACTAAGTTTGTGGTAAGCGGCAGCAGCAGCAGCAGGAAACTGATACTCCAGGTCAATTTAGAAAAGGGAAGAAAGGACAGTCTGAAGCTGAGTTCCTCAAATTGAGGGTCAGCGTCCACTGCAATAATCATGTCTGGTATTTAAAAAAATAAAACTCGTCAACCAAAGTTGTTTTGCAAGTTTTGAGTACAATTTCATGGTGCTTGCGTTTTAGACAGACATGGGGGTGCATAGACGGTGGTAAAATATCACTGAGGTCATGATAAAAGTCCAGGAGCCACTAGCAGAGTTTGGCTTGAGACCGCTCATGAGGAGAGTGTTTTAGCCGTCGGAAGAGTGAGCTAGACCCCAGAAGGAGTGACAGATAGGCACTTACTGCTCCTCACTACAGCCCTGTAGGGTTGGAACTGTTTTAAAAATAACAAAGCAAGTCCAGAGAGGGAAGCACAGCTACCTAGCTTGGGAGCATGGCCTCAGAGTAAGCACTGAGCATGGCCCCTACTGGACAAGAGCGGAGTGGAGATGCCATCACCCAGTCACCCAAGGTCTGGCGCAAGGTGATGCCAGTGGAATTGATGAAATGGCAACCTCTGACACCTTTCATTGTAGGTCTGTCTCAGCTGAGCTGACACAAATCTGTGTGGCTTGGAAGGGGATGTGCAAACCTCACCCCCACCCCAACGTCCCCCAACTGTCCTCTGGGGCAGACCTGGGCGCATGTAATACTGAGCAAGTGTCCAAACTCCGCTGTGCCACCACAGCGGATCTACCTCTGCCCTGCAGGCTTTGGCCCCTTGTGTGTGTGGCTGTGGAAGGAGGCAGTTTCCCTGGTTTAGGTACACCTCACAGGCATCAGGTGCACTTCCTTGATCTCGGGGAGCTAGTGAAGGCCCCGATCTCGGGTGGGCATGTGCTGAAACAGAAGGGAAATCATGCTGGGTGCTGCTTCAATTTTTCCTGCTTTGCAGCCCACCACTTCCTTTGTCAGATGCCTGGAGCTTGGCTGCCATCTTGTGACCAGGAGGCAGTAAGGCCAAGGCTGTCAGGAAGGAACCAGAAGAAGCTTGATGACCTAGAGCTATTTTTCCTCCAAGTCTGCCAACCCGGAAGAATCAGACAGCAGTTTTTGGAAACCTGAGAGGGCAAAAAAAGGGGAGATGGTAGCCACTTCATCCCGGGGTATATGGGGTGGGGGTGGGAGGTCGATTCCAGGAAGAAAGCCCTGCACATTCTCAGAACTCCAAGTGAAATTCTCCACCCCCAAGCTCCCCTCAGCTAAGGAGTTGCTTTGCTTAATACTCAGAAACCTTTGTCCCCTAAGGAAGGCATCACATCGTTTCCCAGTATGAGGTGTACTTTCCCATCCACTGGGGCTTCCCACCATCACAGGCCTAGGAGGTGGTTCTGCTGTTCCCCACGGGAAGAAGGTGGCCCATATAGTCCATCTGAAACTGGTTCTGATGAGATTCCATCACCTGGATGTGCCAAGGCTGGAGGGAGGGCCCTGATAACAGCCCCTCAGTGTCTCCTTGGGCCAAGACGGTGCAGAGTCACACAAATATTAGTTAAAGCTATTTACTCACCCCTTACTCTTCCCAACCACCCCACGGGGATAGAACTCAGGGTAGTGGGAGCTGGAGCTTGTGAGCACATGATCCTGTTGGGAACCCAGGGGACAGAAGCCTGTAAGGGGGAGGGGGCTGGCGACAACGTGTCCTAAGAAATGGCCACATCCTGAAAGATAAACCTGTTGGCCAGGGAGCCACAGTGTGGGCAAAGTGTTTAGGCAGAAGAAACAGCAGGTATTCAAGCCCGCAGACCTGACAAGGTGGGGAGTCTGGGGTGGGACCTCAGGTCTCCAGGAGGCCCCCCACCCCCATCAGCTGCTGCTTAGTGCCTGGTTGATGGGTGAGGTGAATCCCAGGGAGAAGGATTTGGCAGAGTGAGGGTGGAGGGTGCCAGGCCACCTGGCCACATCTGCACGGGCCACACCTGCAGAGCGTAGGAATGAAAAGACCCTAAGGACCACCTGAGCAAGATCCAAACAAGCCCCAAATAAAGGAGTGAAGGAGGGCAGGGGAATAGAGGGGCGAGTGGTCACACAGGGCTGGGGCCTGCAGCCAGTTTTCAGTGAGACACGGAAAGCACAGAGGTGTGGGAGGTAGGAAGGGGCTGGCTGCCTGGCCTGGTCTCGCCTTCCCAGCCCCCTCCCCGCGCAGGCCAACAGGCCAACACTTTTTTTTTGGCGCCAGGCGGGACATTGCCAGTGATGTCCCGGCCGGCGGACGAGGTCTGAAGTTTGCCAGTGGCTGGGTCTCCGACGCCGTGCGAACGCGAGCCCGCACCCCCACGTTCCACCCGCGCCGCTGGACACCGGCTCCCACCCAGCTACTGCCCGGGACCTTCCAGAGCCTCCGTCTCCTCATCCATCAAGTGCAGAGGGGCAGTCGCGGAGCATTTCCGACAGCCCGGGCTCGGCGGGACCACCGCCCGGGAGCCCCCGGAGGCTGAGGGTGGGCGGGGCCTCGGCTGAGCCGTCGGTCTCCGCCCCCGCCCCCGGGGGCTGAGGCGCGGAGGCCCCGCCCCCCGCCCACGAGGAAGTGGCTGCCACTCGGCGCGGGGGCCCAGAGCCGGTTCGGCGCGTCGACTGCCCAGAGTCCGCGACCGGGGCGCTGGAAGGTGAGGGGGCGCAGGGGGCCAGGAGGTGGGGAGCCGGAGAGGGGCCACTTGGAGGTGCGGGAGTGTAGGGCGGGGGACGCGGAGATGAGAAGGGCTCGGGGAGGGGGCGTCTGGAGGTGAGGGGACATTGGGGGGCTGCATGCATGCAGGTGGGGAGGATGCGGGGTTCTTGACAGGAGATGAGGCGGTCACGGGGAGAAAGTGCCCGGCGGAGAAGGGGCGCTCAGAGTTGAAAGTGCCTGGTGGTGCGGGGGAAGAGCCGGAGAGCGCGCTTGCGAGTGGGACGGAGGGCCCCCCAGGAGGTGAGGGAGCG